GGGGGAGGGGTGGGGGTTGGCAGAAGAAGAGGAGAGGGGAGGTGGATGGGAGGGGGCGGGAGGGTGCCGCTCCAAGGGTAATATAAACCTGGCAAAACGATCAAAGTGTCTACATTGTTATTGTACAGGTTTACCACTGCGCTGACCTTTTTCTACGCTCTTGTTATAATGATTTTGTTTGAACTGGCTTTGCTTTGCTTTGAGCTGCTACTACAACGTTCCAATTTCCATAATAGGCCATCTTGTCACACCTTTAATAGTCTAAATTCTTCGACTCTGTGTTAATTACAGTAAAATGCAGACCTTTTTTTCTTAACTCGTAAATCGATTCCGTGCACATTCACAGATATATATGGCGTTATCCGTGAGCTTTCTGGCAATTAACACGTAGAAATGTTACACACAACTAAATATGTTTACGTTTCTTTTCTTTGTAATGCTTTGGTCTCACAGTGGAATTCAGTCAAAGATCTTTCATAAAAGTGTCCGCGGAAGTCCGCGCATTGGTTTAGATGAAGCTGCAGTCTTTGTTTTGAAGCTCTCTTTCGTTTCTCTAAGAGTAGAATAGGATAGGCTAAAACAGCACATCTACTTGGATGGTTGGTGCCTCTATAAATAAATTATTGATGGTCAAGTAGAATAGGAATCGCACAGTTTGTTAGTTTCGCTTTTATTGTTTTTCATACAGGTAGAATAACTCTGTTCGCAAAGTCCGCACTTTTTCAAAGAAGGCGCCACTGGATTTTGAGGGCACTTTTTTATTGGCTCAAAGAAAGAAGTGAACTATCCTGTTATGTACGATCATTGCCTCCGCGTAGTTCTTGCTAAACTCTGCGAAACCGCCTTCAAGAGGGGGATTTGATAATTTGGGTGGATGTTGGGAATCGTGCGGATAGTGGCATGTGTTATTTAGGTCGCTTTTAAGGACAAGTGGGTTAACCCTGATTTCGGGGGTTTCCAGGAATCTTGACCTACACCAAATGTGGGCATTGCCCTACCTATAGGATAAGTTTGGTTTCATTGGTGTGCATATTTGTTTAGATATAGAGAAAACTCTCCTTGTTTTTTAATGAAACTGAACAAGGGGCAAACACTTTACCTTCGATTTCGTCAAAACAGCATTTTTCAGGATAGCCCACTTGTCCTTAAAAGCGACCGCCTCGTTTGGAAATGTACATTTTGTAGGAGGTTGTACGAAAATGCGAACCTCTTAAAGTGGTAAAAGTAGAAGTAGGTGCTGGCTATAAAATAGATGACAAGCGCTGCTATATATGAACACGTATTCTGCAAATACTTCCTCAAACTCACACAATGAAAACCTTTTCTCTATGGCATGACTGTAGAAGCTGGAGCTCCTCCAAATAGGCGTGGGATAAAATATTACCAGATGCTCAAACTCTATTTCACACTATTACAGCCACATTATACCCTCAAATTCAAATTTGTCGCCTATTAACCTACATTTTACGCACGCATTTTCCTTGTATGTCTAGCGATCTTAATACTTGTAAAGTTGACAATAGTACAGACTTCTTTTGACGTAAATTTTTTTTAAAATACATGCTATTTGTTGCATGATCCCTTAATCACGTAACAGATTTTTTTAAAACCCTAGTAATTACAATGGATCTGCTACGGAATTACGTCCGAATTTCCTAAAGGTTGATTTTGTGAATTCGGAGGCGAACCACCTCAGAAGTCTGCAATTTACAAAGAACAAAGACTGGTGTTAACTTCGTATTTCTCTTTATGAACTTTGTATTTATGAACTTTGTATTTCTCTTTATTATACTAGGTCGTGACGTCCCTGGTGACACCAGATTTTACATCCTAACGTCATAAGGCGCAAAGTAGGGCTGAGCAATGAGTCGTTTTAGCAAAATCCGGATATGTTAGTGCACCTCTTCAGCAAATAATATGATATGAACCGCTTCATCAAATGGGTTAGAACCACATCGACAAACGGGTTAGCATCACTTCAACAAAATGGGTGCACCCACTTCGGCAAACGGATCAGGAAAGAGAGTTAGGAGTCTGAATTCGGATAATGTTTCATTGAGAATTATCCGGTTATCCTTATAGTTTATCCAGATTTTGCCCACCTTTATCGCAAAGGAGACTTGAAGAGACAACTTAACCTTTTTCAACAAAGCGTAATAATTGATTTGTTCAGAGAAGGCGTTGATGCTTGAACGCCAACCAGTCTGCTCACGGCACTAACAAGCGAGCCAGATTAAAGGTCGTAACAGCTAAAGATCGTGTGATGAGTGTGAGTGGAAGACAGGACTGACACGTTGTAAGAAAATGGTGTGGGCAAAAGGGGGGGGGGGTATTATAC